TATCTGTTATCCCAGAGACAATCCACACGCTCCACACAACCCGGACCCCTTGGTTTCTTGGTCTTGAGAAATCGAGCTCACTCCTTCCAGATCCCCAACTTGTGAGTGAAGTCGTTGTTGGGGTCCTGGACAGTGGCGTGTTGCCACAACACCCAAGCTTCAGTGACGATGGACAGCTGGGACCCATCCCGAGTAGCTGAAAAGGGGGATGTGAAGGGACAATCGATTTCCCAAAATCCAGCTGTAACAGGAAATTTGTTGGGGCGAGGTCCTTCTCGAAAGGGTACCTATATTATCTCAAACAAACTGGGAATAAGACTGACGAGCCAATATCCCCACGGGACTACGATGGCCACGGGACCCACACCGCAAGCACTGCTGCCGGGTCCCCTGTCCAAGGCGCCAACCTGCTGGGCTCCGCTAGCGGGACGGCGCAGGGGATGGCATCCACTGCTCGGGTCGCATCATACAAAGTCTGCTGGATACAATTCTGTTTCAGTTCCGACATACTGGCAGGTATGGACCGTGCCATCAAAGATGGCGTCCACGTGTTGTCGTTGTCGGTGGGTGGCGGTCCACTTGATTACGACGAGAGTTTGATCTCAATTGGAGCTTTCGCTGCAACTCATAGAGGCATCCTCGTTTCGTGCTCCGCAGGAAACAGTGGCCCCGACCCGTACAGCACGGAAAACAATGCACCGTGGATAACGACCGTCGGTGCGGGGACCCTTGACCGCGACTTCCCGGCGGATGTCATGCTCGGGGACAGAACGACTTACGCCGGCACCTCACTCTACAGCCTTCGAAAGCCACTGTCCGGTGATCTCGTGTACGCTGGATATGTGAGCAACAACGGCAGCAATCTTTGCATTAACGGGACCCTCATCCCAGAGAAAGTTCGAAATAAGATTGTGTTGTGTGACCGTGGGGTGAATCCCAGAGTTGAGAAAGGCGCAGTGGTGAAAGAAGCTGGGGGTTTAGGGATGATTTTGGCTAATACTGACAAGGAAGGAGAGGAGCTGGTAGCAGACGCTCACATGATCCCGGCCACGATGGTCGGCGCAAAGTCGGGGCGTGGAATAAGAAGGTATTTGTTGTCCTATAGATCCAATGCCAAGGCCACCATTATGTTGCGAGGGNGAATCCCAGAGTTGAGAAAGGCGCAGTGGTGAAAGAAGCTGGGGGTTTAGGGATGATTTTGGCTAATACTGACAAGGAAGGAGAGGAGCTGGTAGCAGACGCTCACATGATCCCGGCCACGATGGTCGGCGCAAAGTCGGGGCGTGGGATAAGAAGGTATTTGTTGTCCTATAGATCCAATGCCAAGGCCACCATTATGTTGCGAGGGATAACTAGGGTGGACGTCAAGCCTTCCCCGGTTGTCGCAGCCTTCAGCTCTAGGGGACCCAACGTTATCACCCCTGAAATCCTAAAACCGGACCTCATTGCGCCCGGGGTGAGCATCCTAGCTGGATGGACAGATGCTGAGGGTCCCACCAGCTTAGATATCGACAAACGCAAAGTTTTATTCAACATAATCTCTGGCACGTCCATGTCGTGCCCCCACGTCAGCGGCCTCGCGGCCCTGCTAAAGGCGGCCCACCCTGAGTGGAGCCCTGCCGCCATTCGTTCGGCTCTCATGACCACGGCTTACTCCAATTACGAGGACGGGAGCCCGTTGCTGGATGCAGCCACCAGCAACGCATCCACCCCATTCGATCATTGTTCCGGGCATGTGTCCCCTATCACCGCCCTCAACCCAGGCCTAGTCTACAACCTAACCACGAACGATTATTTGAACTTTCTCTGTGCAATAAATTATACTTCTTCTCGAATCAAGACCCTAGCAGGGAAAACAAAAAAATTCCGTTGCCAGCCCAAAAAATTATACAGCGTCTACGACCTCAATTACCCTTCCTTTGCAGCCACCATTCCCCCATCTGGAAATTGTAAAACAACCGTGGTTTTTAGGAGAACACTCACAAACGTGGGAGAAAATGGGACGACATACCGAGTCTCGATATATTCACCAAGACCGTCAGCCATGATTTCTGTTACTCCTAAAACATTGGTTTTCGGCCAAAAGAACGAAGCAAAGTCTTACAAGTTGACGGTGGTAGCAACCCAGATGTCGCCCGGTACAAACGCGTTCGGCAGAATCGAATGGTCGGATGGGAATAATGTGGTGGGGAGTCCAGTTGTTGTTAGTTGGATCAACGCTACTCAGGATTAATACAGTAGTTTCCTTGTTTACTTACTCTTAACTGTATCGTAATAACTCACATATGTAATAAGGCTACGCCAATAATAATAATAATAATAAGTCTTGTTTGAGGTATACTACTTGTTTGTTGTTTCAGCATTGTATTATTTACTTATTTTAAACAAGTAGTAAAGTGTACGTGCCTGCGATGCACGTGATATATATATAGTTTTTGTTGTAGTTTTAAATTATGTTTTTTTCATACTTATATGGTTTATTCATTTATCTAAATTATTATTTGTTATTAATAAAACAAAAGAAGCTTTTTACACAATGAATTGTCTCGTATATCGGAATTAAAAATACCACTTTTATAATGATAATATTTAAAAGTTAAGATAAAAAAAGAGCATACACGAACAAAAAAAAACAAGGGAATAAACATTTTCTCTATGTTAATATNCAAAAAAAAACAAGGGAATAAACATTTTCTCTATGTTAATATTGTTTGTTTGAAATAGTATTTTAGTTCAGGCAAAGTTGAAAAATATGTACTGTAATGACTATTAGTACAGAGCCCGTGCGATGCACGGGGTGCACAATTTTAAGATTATTTATCCAAGCTTATAACTATATACATGAATAAAATAAAATGTACGGGATATATATAGTACGTGACCCGTGCGAAGCATGAGATATATTTATTTGGANTGTTGTAGTTTTAAATTATGTTTTTTTCATATTTATATGGTTTATTCATTTATCTAAATTATTATTTGTTATTAATAAAACAAAAGAAACTTTTTACACAATGAATTGTCTCGTATATCGGAATTAAAAATACCACTTTTATAATGATAATATTTAAAAGTTAAGATAAAAAAAGAGCATACACGAACAAAAAAAAACAAGGGAATAAACATTTTCTCTATGTTAATATTGTTTGTTTGAAATAGTATTTTAGTTCAGGCAAAGTTGAAAAATATGTACTGTAATGACTATTAGTACAGAGCCCGAGCGATGCACGGGGTGCACAATTTTAAGATTATTTATCCAGGCTTATAACTATATACATGAATAAAATAAAATGTACGGGATATATATAGTACGTGACCCGTGCGAAGCATGAGATATATTTATTTGGAGAATATTATATTATAAGATGCAATATTCAATAAAGAGAATATTATATTATAAGATGCAATATTCAATAAAAGTTTATAATACGCAAGAAAATTGTACAATGTTCAATAAAAGTTTTATAATATTCAAGTGGAGTCTTAAAGTCTCTTGTACATTAAGATTACTGACAAAATAATATTTTAATCAATAAGTTTCCTTTCCTTGTAGCCAAATTGTGAATGTGATTTAAGCAGTACAACAAATCGATATATAGTTGACTTGCTTTTTTCATTGTAGTTTTTTTTTTCTTTTTTTTATAATAAATTTAAAGATATTCTAAAATATAGCAAAAATTAATTTTTTTTTATTACAATTAGGAATTTTACTAAATATAGACTCTCAATCTATGGTGTTAATCAACGTTTAAGTCTAAAAAATTAGGAATTTTTACCTCTTTTAATCAACGTTTAAGTCTAAAAAACAATAGAGTTATTATAAGTTTTTTTCTACATCTTTTAAAACATTAAATATGAGCATGTTAGAGGTAGCTTGTAAAATAATTAATATATTATCTCACTAAAACATTTATACTAATAAAAATTTAATTTTAACATATAAATTTATCCCTTGATATAAGAGAAAGTAACAGTTTTACTTATTGTTGTTCACCATATAATATTTAATTATTATTTTATTATATAATAAAAAAGAAATATTATAAAATAGTGTAGTAGAATTGTTATACAATTATATGATTTTTTTTTTTACAATATGGATTTAATATTTTTTTATGATTTGATAATATAAACAAATCTATACTTACCTTTGACAAATAAAACAAATAAATACTTTAGTAAGTATTTAATGTATATACTAAATAGGAATATATTTGGTATAATCAAATACCAAATATAATCAAATAAGTCAAAGTGTACATTTTTATTTGGTATTTGATTTTTTTATTATTAAAATATTTTTATTATACTTACCTTTTTAAAATAAAACAAATAAATAAATCAATTAAATAAATAAAATATTATAATACCAAAATGGTAATAACATTTAATGCAGTTGACTTTTCTGGATAGTAAATGTAGTAAATAGAATCTCCTTTTATATAAGTATAGATATGATATTATATTATGTTGCTCAAAATAGTAATGTATTTATTGCATTGACTTTTCAACTTACTAAATTTCGTAAATGGTACACCTTATTATATAAGTATAGATTTTGTTTGAACACTTCTGATTGCATAAATGTCCACTAACTAATAAAAATCGAGCACAAAATACCTGAAAATTCTAAATTCGGCAAAAACTCTCAATATATGAAAACATAATCTTATTTTAACACGAGACTAGTACGAATCCCGTGCTATGCACGGGTAATAGATATTCATTAATATTTATAAATTAAAAATTTTTATTAAATAATATTTATATATTAAAAACATGGAATCAATATGTAATACAGTGTACCTATTTAATTTATTGTAAATGTTATATAAAATTTAAATTATGCAAAATTACATAAAAATATCTATTTTTAAAATTAGTACACAATCTGTGCGTTGCACATAACTGATAATAAATTACATTATATTCGTTTCAATATATGTGTCATTTCAAAAATTTTATTCAGAAATCCGATTGGACTATAACGTGATTCTATAGAATAATTATTGTGGTAAAATTTTATCATATATTTAGAAACCTATGTGATAATAAGTATAAATATAAAACTTTTTTTTTTTCAAAACGACAGAGGAAACTTAAATTGTTTCATTAACTAAAATGAATTTATTTTTGTATAAATATCTAAATAAAAAAATTTAAGTAGTTGAGTAAAAGCAATCAGTCATAAGATTTTTTATGCCAAAAAAAATCGACACTCTTTATAATGCTAAAAAATGAACAGTGCAATTCACACAAAAATTATTTGAAATGTCGTAACATAAAATAAATTAAATTGAGACCCACTAATTTATACAAAAAAAAATAAAAAATTGATGAGAGTTGTTCTATACAAAAACATCGATACACGCACATTATATCAAAATATCCGTTTATTTTGCCGGAGTTACTTTAATTTCATACGAAAAATTGAAATACACGCCTAAAAATTAATATATTAGCCTGAGCATTACAGAAAAAAGTACACCGTATATTGATTAATTTTTCAACAAATTTCCTACTAAAAACCAGTCATCAAATAACCTAAATAGATTTGCTCACATACCATATATTGATTAATTTATTTCCCATAGAAACAACTATCAATACCAAATTCGTACGCTTTATACCATATTTTAATTAATTCATATGATTTGAGTAATTAAGGTATCTTAAAATATGATTTAATTAGTTCCTTAAATAATGAGCCGCAATTTCCATAAGTGATCATCTAATATATACCATCAATTATTAAATTAATTTACGTAAATAGTAAGTAGATTTTTTTTGGAGTGAAATAGTTACTATTTAAAAAATAATCAAACCTTTTTATATCGACTAGTACACAGCCCGTGCGATGCACGGGTAAATAATATTAAAATTATTTTTATAAATTAAATGTCTGTAAAAAATATTAAAATATTTTTATAATTTAAATATATAGTTACACAAACACAATATTAAAATTGTTTCATATATTAAATGTGCGGTTGACTACACAACAATTTATCTTAAATTTATTTTCATCTAGCCTTTTTTTTTTCTTTTGGTTTCATTCATCTATTCTCGCTGACTTTTTTTTTTCTTCATTGCGTTCAATTTCTCTATATTTAGTTATGGTTAGATTATATAAGTAGTCCTTTTCTCTATATTCAATCCGTCCATCCTCTCGCGAAAATATCCCAAATCCTCTGCGACGAAAACCTAGCTTCTCAGGCCTCGAATTTCCGGCACATCTGCCTTCCTCGACGTCGGTACTGCTCGGCTAAGGGTCGTCCTCACCTGTTCGCGGCCCCCTGGCGAGGAGCACCCCTATTCCAACCACAGATGGTCCAGTGATGGGGAAACAAGTTCGCGGTCGTTAATGGCGCTCCGGACGGTGGCGGTTCACCTCGCGATGGAAGCACGGCCGGCGCTTGGAATCTTCTTTCCAGTCACTGGAGGAGTTGCGATTTGCGATGGTAAGACCCGTCCTTTTCTTCCCTCCGTCTGTGCAGGTCTGATTTCGTCTATGCCGGCGGCGCCTCACCTCTTCTAGTGGGGTCGGGCCGATTGTTCATTGGATGTCTGTGGTGGTGATGGGTGGAGTGCGAATCGTCGGGTGGGGCGGGACCCTGGTTACTGCGTCGCTTTTTGTCGCGGTGGTCGGGAGAGGGTTGTACTCTCTTACTCCAATCCCCGTCATCTAGTGGTGTTAGGCGACGGGGGAGGTTCTATCGGCCTTGTCTAGTGGTGTTAGAAAAGTTCGGTTGGAATCGGAGTGGGATGGATGCTGGCCTCTTGGTTGTCGAGCGGTTGATGCAGGGACTGGTTCGGGATTGGGTTCCGCTACTGTATAGGCTTAATTGCAGTTTTGGTAGATGGTGCTTGGTCTGGATTGGTCTTGTGTCAATCGTGCACTCTCTAGTCCGGGCTTACTCGTTCGCTGCGGAAGGGCTATTAGATTATTTAGTTTAGTGTTTTGTGTTCTTGTTTTATATGTTAGTGTTTCGATTTGGATTAGGCTGTTTTGTGTCTGTATTGGTTTGTTCTGGTCTGGTATTTTAGGTTTGGGTCACTTGGCCCCTGTGCAAGGGATTACTCCGTTGGAGTCGTCCCACATTACCTCGTTGGGGGTCTGTTATACCACAAATACTCGAACCGCTCGACCGCTCCTCTCGAACCGAATTGAACCTTCTCGATCGCCGGTACCTGCAAAACACGCCG